GCCCTTGGGCTGCTGACTGAGCGGCGCTTGGGGGGGGGGGGGGGGGAGCGGCCGGGTCATGTAGACACGCGTGCGCGAGCACGTCATAACGCTATCAGCCGCCGAGGCGAGTACATCGCTGGAGCTGACGCGTTATTTTTTAAATTATTTCGCGCCGACTTTTAATACCGTATTTTGACTTCGTCACAATTCAGGAAATAATTAATACGAATTGAAACGCGTACTTATCACGCGAGCAGGTGTTGTGGGCTTCACCGCAGCGGGTAATTTAGTTACTGCGTTTCATTTAGTTTTTCATTTGTTAGATAAAAAAACGTCGCGATCGAGTTCTTCAATGCCGATCAAATATTATCATCATCCATTTATTATTCGAGTATTATTATTCTTTATTCGGTTGTCACTTAACTATTATTTTTATTACGTATTGGGAAACAACTCAAGCATGCCGTTACGATTTTCTTATCTTGTCTTGCTGTCGTATGTAATTAATTGATACTATTGGACATTATTATACGGTTGTCGATCAGACATTATTATCATAATTTTTTAGTTAATCGGGTATTATTACTTCTTTATTCGGCTATTGTTTAATTATTTTTTATTGCGCATTGGAAAAGAACTTGAACGTGCCGTTACTAAAATTTTTTTCACCGTCTTGCTGTCGTGTGTAACTATTTGATATTAATTTATTAAATTACTAATTGATACTAAATTAAATTATATTTCTATCACAGAGATCTAATAGAAAAGACGCAGTCACACGGCTCTAGGGGATGCGATGTCTGGGGGATCCTCCGCGCCGGAGGATTCGGCTTGGGCCTGGCTGAGTCGGCTCGAAGGTAAGCTTCATTGATTTGTATTCGTTATTAGAAATCTGTCAAAACTGAACATTTTCTTGTTTCGAATCGAATACCTTAATGCCTCCATTGTCATATAACTAATTAATACTAAATTAAATTTTTGTTGTTGCAGAGACGAGCACTTGATTCTAAGGGGATGCCACACCGGAGGATCCGGTTCGGGCCTGGCAGAGTTGGCGCGAAGGTGAGTTTCACTGATTTAAATTCGTAATTAGAAATCCAATAAAACTGGAAATTCTCTTGTTTGGGAAATTCTCAAGTTCCTTAATGTCTCCATTATCGTGTGTAATATTAAATTAAATGTGCTTTCTGTTACAGAGACGAAGCAAACGACCAGCCAACTCTTAAGAGCTGCTGCGCCGGAGGATCTGGCTCGGGCCAAGCGGGGTTAGCTCGAAGGTTAACTTCCCTAATTAATATTTATAATTATAAATCCAATAAGATTGATAATTCTCTTGCTCGAAATCAATATAACTTAAATCGAGTCAAAGATCGTGTTAAATCGTACTTACACGTGGGAAAAATTTTTTCCTGAGTAATATCACTACTTGAAAAATACTGATTTGTTTTAATTAAGAGATTTGTTTGAAACGTCGAGAAAAAGGAAAATTTGGAATATTCTAAGTGGGAATGCATTCCAAAACATTTTCTCAGCGTGAAAAATATTGCGTGCTTATTTTTTTTAAATATTGCAAACCTCTTCACTCAAACCAACATTAATGCGCGAATCTAATCGGCGAAACATTTTTCTGTTCCAGAAACGATAGTAGAACGTGGCTGCCCTGATCGGCGGGTCGGTAAGTCAAATAAGAAAAAAAATATGGTAATAGAAAGACTAAAAGTTTTTCCATGTAATGCATGTTTATGAATCAATGCGATTTACTTTGCTGTGGTGTAGTGTGTGTATGTGCCGTCCAATAAAGCACATTGTTCGAAACAACTGAAAGATCGCTTTTATAAATAATAATATTAGTAATAATACGTTTTTATAAATTTGGAAAATTTTCAAGTATTTTTCTCGCAATATATATATATATATATATATATATATATATATATATTAATTGTTTAACTAACATAGATTATTGATTGATCAATGATTTTTGTTGAAGAAAATTTTGATTAATTAAACCTTAACACTGTCTGGCAGATGCCATTAACATATCGAGTATACGTTTTGAATTCAAAATTTTGTAAAATTATTCAGTTTTATTGAGTGCGATCTTCCAGGTATCTCGATCAGTGCGCCAACGCGTAGAGATTGCGCCACAGGAAATGTGCAATCACATCATTCGCCTCGATTGATCTTCCGCCGTTAATTTTCTCAGTTTTCTCTCTCGCGTGAGTTTGTGTCGCGATTGCATTTTGTAAAGTACAGAGTTTGTTATTAAATAAAATTTAATATCGTGCGGCGTCTGTGCGAAGCGATCTTATGTGATTACTTAAACTGCTCGCGAAATTAATTTTACGATCGTCGGAAAATTTTTAGGTTTCAATTTTTCACTTAGAATTTCTTAACGCGTAACAATAGATAATACTAGCGAGCGTTGATCCCTCGCGAAAAACGCGATGTATACAAATTGTATGTGAGCAGTTGTTTATTTACGCGGCGCGCGACGAGTTCCATCGAACAAAACAGGCGCCTCACGCGGTAATATTTTTTTTTCGCGTGAATTTTGAATAGAATCTTTATCTCTATCGTTGCATTTTTCATAATTCTCGGTTTTTCATTCACGCACGCGTTTGCAATTATGTTTTGATAGATTTTCGAATTTAACCGGTTCGTATTTACGGAAGAGTCGAGAGCGAACTTCACAGAAATACTGCGGAGCTGTTATCCGTAAAAGCATTGCGGGGTTGTCTTCGCAAAAATATTGTGGAGCTGTTATCCGCAAAAATATTGCGGATTTGTCTTCGCAAAAGTATTGTGGAGCTGTTATCCACAAAAATGTGGAACTGTATTGCAGCCTATTATGCTGCACTATCGAAACGTTACATTAGGGATATTCCGTGTTGTACGTGAGAATCTCGCATAGATTACTTCGCTCACGCGTCGAAAGATTTCGCGAGATTGGCCTTCGATTCGCGTCGCGTGTTCCCTTTGCTCGCGGATCCTGTTTTCTTCGTAAGCGCTTCACGTCGCGCGTGTATCAAAGCGATACATTACAACTCGATAAGACAGTTGCAGAATTCGTTGCACATACTCGTCGTTTATCCAAAAGGCCGACATTTCCTCGAAGACGCAGTTTGCGATATTTCTTACGTAATTCGTAACTCGGAATGTATCCCCAAGAAAGACGGGATTTTTCGTAAAACCTCCGTTAGATTGTCGCGGTCGGGAGTGAATTACAGGCGACGTGGGACGCGAGGACCATTGCAGTGTCAGATGCAGCGACAGGAAGGCAGGTGGACCCTGGACACCGTGGGACGACGCGCAATGGTGAGCGCTCAATTTAGATGCTCATATAGTAGATACAAAGCATCACTTTACGTAGATTGCATGCACGTAGACGTAAATCGCATTGGGTCCGACGGGAAGTAAAGTAAGAATTTGAATTTGCAATTCGCCGGAGTTACGTAAGAATGATCGAACCAAAGAATTTAGCTCTGAGGTTTTCGCAATAGTTCAGCGAGTCAAGCATTTCCATTTCTTTACTGACTAGCTCAATCCTTAGAAAAATGTGCAAAAAAGATGCGACTGCTAAAAAATAAAAAAACTGTTTCTTAATTTATTTCAAGCGTCTATAAGGCTGGATTTTTCTCGTTTTGTGTAAAAAGATGTGAATGGAGTATCTGTTGATAAAAACTTATAATTTTTTGAATTGGATCATTCTTGCATAACAACAGTCAATTGAAATTTCGATTCGGCAGACTTCCTTCTCGTAGGATTATTTCTTGATGATATATTAAACTGATATATTTCAACATGTCATATTTATATGCTCTTTATATGTTATATATATTTTTTATGCTCTATATATGTTTTATATATACCTTATGTATGCTGTATATATACTATTTGATTATTATAATTTATAACTTATTATGTCGTATTATATACGACATATTATCTCTTCAGAGATATTTTCTTATGCATATGCGTTTGTTGTTGATAAGACGACAAATTAAATTTCGATAAATTAAAGGCAACAAATTAAATTATTAAGCCGAGATTTGAACCGAAATGTTTCGATTTTCCGCTAAATTATTAAGCCGAGAATCGGATCCGAGTGTTTCGAGACTCCGCTAAGTTATTAAGCCGAGATTCGAACCGATGTGTTTTGTGTTTCCGCTAAATTATTAAGCCTATTTCGAACCGAAGTGTTTTGAGTTTTCTTTAATTTATTAAGCCGAGTTAGTTAAGTCTGGGATAATTTTTTAAAATTTCATAAAGAAATTTTCGCGTTTGCAAAGGTGTATTTTTTGAAAATGATGCGAAGTGTGCGAATTTCGCCCTGCATCGTCTCTTGAATGACAATGTGCGTTTATGTCACTCTACTCCTTCAGTAACTCGCCCAGAATCTTGAAAATAATTTTCCAATAGTACAAAGTCGCGTTCACAACGTTAGAACCAACTTAGCGTTATAGGAAATTCGGATTCTTGGGCATGGGACAAAAGTTAGTCATGTTACTACAGATTATTTAGGTTATTTAGGTTACGTAGGTTATATAGTGTTAGCATCTAAAGCACATTCTGGGATACCTTCTTACATTTTTTTAAAGTAATTTTCGCGTTTGCAAAGATATATTTTCTCTGAAAAAGAAAGATAAGAAATCGACAAAGTCCTTATGCGATCGACGATTTTTTTTGCGGATTCTAACGACTAAAATCGTTTGTCTAAGCTGATCAGACCTTCACAAAATCCATATGACTTTTATCTGAACTTTTTTTTTCCCGGATTGCTATTGACTAACCGACCTTGTATCCTATAATAAAAATTATGATTTATTAATAATTCTTAATCTCCTCCCCCTTTATTATTTAATTAAAGCACATTTGTTTGCGTTATTTGCGTTACGAAAAGTACCGTTGTTTTATTTAATATCAAGATACATAGGAATTTTCTTAAGTTTATATCAATAATTATTTACTTTATTTAAAATCCCCGTACATTTCTATATCTGATAAAATCACGTAGACGTACCGAAAATAGACCGAGTGCTAATTAATAAACGTTTTCCTCATACATAAAAGTTGTGTGTGCTGTGTGTATATATGTACACACACACACACACACACATATAGCATTAAATATTTATTAGTCGACACTCGATCTGTTTCTTATACTCTTATACGTATTTCATTGCATCGGTTGATAACTTTCTTAACTATTCCATATCTGTTACCATCTACGCTCATTTCGAGCTAATGTTTCATGTTCTGGCCACGCTGTTACTGAGAGGGCGCTAACGCACGGTGAGATTTTTCGGGGTCGCTAAAGCTCGTAAGACCGACAGTCTTTTAGGCCGGTTCTACATTAGTTGCAAATCGCAAGATTGTAAGAAAATTTACCAATCACAATCGATCGTTCTTCTTGCGACCAAAGAAGAATTGACTGTGATTGGTCAATTTTCTTGCGATCTTGAGCTTTGTAACTAATGTAGAACGACTCTTACAGTACCTCATCGGTGCACCGGCAAAATATCAGCTGGAAATATGATTGTGGCCGTGAACTGCACACGGAAAAAAAGGTTTGGTTGAATTAACCAAATATCTGGTCGAATATGAACGATCCAGAAATTCCGATTGAAGTAACCCGAATTCTATTTAAATTAACAAGATTTTTGGTTAACTTAAACATAATTCGGGTTACTTCAATCGGAATTTCTGGATCGTTCATATTCGACCAGATATTTGGTTAATTCAACCAAATCTTTCTTTCCGTACAGAGTTGAACTTTACCGAAAAAAATGAAGGGCTTCTAAGAGCCAATACTATACTGCAATGTACCTAACATTAAGTTAAGTTAGTATTCATCCTCGATGAAGTGAGAGGAATGTATGAGGAATGTATTAGCATTCTCAGCTGAATATAATCATTTGGTCATGTTAAGATGATTATATTAAGTTGAGTATGCTAATAGATATATTTCTCTCATTTCATCGAGGCTGCGTATTAACATTAATATTTAGTTATATATATTACACTGCAACACCCGTGTATTGCACGGTCTCTTTTAGAGACTCTTGTTTCCTTTACAGTTACAATTTTTTTTGCAAGTAATCGGCAAATCAATAATAAAAATTAATCAATTGTCATATATGTGTAATCAAGAATAATTTAATCGATTGATAAATTTGTCATGGCTCAGTATATGATCATCAAAGTTTACATCAAAGTTTGATTAATAATTAATTTCATCAATTGACAATTTTCTATATGACGATTGATTAATTTTGTATATTAATTTGCCGATAATTTTAGTCCACGAAAATTTCAATCGATTAATGCCGACGTATTCGTTATGTGATTTCGCTGATCCCATTTGATATAGTTACATTGAGCAAAAATATTTAGTTTATTTGCGGAATATAAAGTTAATTTCTGTGAGATAAAAGTTATTTCTTTGAATAAACTTTATATTCCGCAAATAAATTTCCAAGTATTTTTTCAATATACAGAAACATAATTATAATTGTGAGCTTTTAATAGCATTTTGTCGATGTCGGAGAAAATACTTTATATCTTCTGAAATTGTTGGATGCATTATTGCCGTTAATCAAGTTGAAATCGATATAATCGATATTGAAATCGTATATAAGCTTTTTTCTATTATTACAAAATATTTTAATCCTCTGGGTTTGTGAGAAACAAACTTTCTACCTCTTTTCTTGAAGCAATTAATAAAATAAAATTATACTTATTTTTTTAATATACAAATTTTAAAGAAAAGATTTTGCATTATATTTGCCAAAACTGTAAATTTCATAAAATGTTTCAATAACAGTTA